AGGCAGATGCCTACACGTCTGGTTCAACGACATCTTCACCAGCACAAGCTCAGTGGAGAACCACAATAAAGCATTATTGTGGTTATTTACTCGCCTCAAGGGGGCAAAGTTCTATGTAAGCCAGAAAAAATTCCAGCCATTTCCCCTGATCCTAGATGTTCTAGGAAGCCATGTGGATGAACAAGGCATCCACACTGTAGGTGGGCACAGCTGGTACTGCACAAACAAACCAAATATCATGATTTCCCCATCCCAGCACATCCCCACTTCGCAAAACACATCATACACGTCCTCATATACTATTCCTACCCTTCCATGATTTTTCCCTATTTTTTCAGACACATTTCCAGTCCCCACAGACCAAATTCCCACACCCACCCAGCAGTGCAGCCACACTCAGATTGGATTTCACTTATCTCAGCAACCACTGGACCGATTTGGACGATATTGATACCGTTGGAAACGCGTCATTTAGGAGTATTAGATCCATGATTAGCGGGAGTTTATTGGCGATGGATAGAGTTGGGTATTTTTGGTCAGATACCATTTATTGCTTTATTATTTTCTTGATTATTGTTTTCCCTCCCTTTTTCCGATATTGATTGTTGCCGATATGACCCACCTAAGCACATGGGACTCATCGGATATTTTTATTTGATCATTTCTCATATATACCTGTACATGAGGATGTATCTACTTTTTCCTTTGGACTAGAAACTACCAAGTTTGCCCCTCCCAAGCTAGTAGGTAGTACGACCAAGAATACGATTAAGAAGACCTCTGGATCAGTCCTTGCCTTAGTGTCACCCAGAGAGGTGGGGTAAGAGATTGATTGGAGTACACCATGCACTGCACCAGACCATATTTACCATTACCATTACCCCTTTTCCCTGACCTGTTGGATACCAATCCAGTCCCTGTCCTTTCCTGTTTTCCTTCTGGGTTAGATCCCTAGCCTGCTTACAATGCTCAAGTGGACAAAATGGAGAAAATCCGCAACTGGCGAGAGCCAGTAGACCACACAGGAGTCCTACGATTCCTGGGAATGGTAGAATATCTATTGATATTCATGCCAAACGTCAGTGGCTACACAGGGCCACTGCAAACAATCTGCTCGAACAAGCAGATATTCAGGTGGACGCCACTCCACCAGAAATGCTTTGACAAGATCAAATGTCTCACATGCAGGGCTCCAATTCTGAAGCCCATCCAGTGGAATCCACTGGAAAACCTCTCAGAAGAAGAGAGAAGTAAACTCCACATCTGGGTCATAACAGACACATGCCCAGTGGGCATGGGTGCACTAATTGGACAAGGCGAAAAGTGGCAGACCTGCCGCCCTGCCGCATTCATGTCCAAGAGGCCATGAATTCACAGTAATCATGGATCACAAAGCCTTGGAATATTTCAAAGCGAAAAACCACAACTCAGGTAGACACCTGAGATGGCAAGCCTTTTTCACAAGCTTTAATTGCAAATAAAATACATGGAAGGTCACAAGAACAAAGTGGCAGATGCACTTTCATGGTACTATGACTTGTCAACAGATGAGGATCTGCATTTTGATGACTACATGTTGGCAGATATCCATCTGGATAAAAATGCAGAAGACATCATCCCCGACAGAGTCGAGGAATATGAAGAACTGCTGCTAAGCAGTACTCTGAGTAAAAACTCAGAGGAAAAGAGACTCACAGCAATACACACAAGAAATACCCTAGAGGAAGCTCTAGGGGGAGCACCCAAAATCTGGGAGAAATTATAATTCCAGAAGAGAACCTTCGAAAACAATTCGAAGGAAAAGACCTCATTGAGTTAAAATCTGGATACATGCAAAGCCAGATCCACCAGGAAATCCTAGAGAATCCCAGGAATTTCAAGAACTTCTCCACAAAAGATGTGGAGAAGAAGGGACAACCCAAATAGTAGTCCTGAAAGGGAACTACAAAAGGAAGTCCATTCGAGGAATAATCCTTGAAAACATCCATGAAACACTTGGACACCTAGGGTCCAAGAAAACAGTGGAAACCCTCCATCAATATTTCTGGTGGAAGTCAGGAGAAATCCTGGACTGCTTCACCCACTCCTGACCCTGGAAACACCATGGTCATCAATAGCCATGGACTTCACAGGTCCATTCCCAACAAGCTTGGGATATGATTACCTTGGGGTAATCATCTGCAGGTTGATGTCCAACGTCCACCTGATTCCAATAAAAACAACAATGAACACATTAGAACTGCGAAGTTGTAAGACTTCACAGTCTACAGATCGAGACTGAAAATTCACATCAAAATTTTGGTGCAAACTACACCGAATACTCGGTGTACAGTTGAAATTCACAACTGCATTCCATCCACAAGGTGACAGCCAAGTGGAAAGAATGATACAAAAAGTAGTACAGATACTACATGTGATGGTCAGACCAGATCAATGCAACTGGGCAGCAAAGCTGTCAATGGCAGAATTTGCAATCAATGCGAGCTCAAATGCATCGACAGGATTTGCCCCATTCGAATTAATCTATGGCCACATGCCAAAGATGTGCCTAACAGCACCACCCTCGGACTTACCTGGGAGTGAACAACTTCGCCCAAAAGGTGAAGGAAAACTGTCATATCCGTACATACCCGATCCCAATCCGACTCCTGGACCCCCATCTTCACCACCTCCAGAGTCCTACCCTACCGCCGTCCATTCCGATATTCACCTTCAGACCTGACACCACTCCTCCTCTCACCCCTCATGCCACCTTGACCCTTCCATCCTTCTCCTACCCTATCTCCATGCGCTCTGATACTCACCTTCAGACCTGACACCTCTCCCCTCCTCCACACCTCTCTTCCCTCTCTTCCCTCTGACCCTCTTCCGCCGACCCTTCGCCTAGTTACAACCTTCTGCCACTGTCCTGTACCCTATACTCGGACACCACTCATACCTTCGCTCCAAGATCCCGTCATAGTTCCAACCTCGGACTTTGACTCCACCTCAGCTTAAGTCCATTGCATTGGTGACCTCATACCACGTAAACACCATTGCCAATATTCCTCGGACTTCCAACCCCGCCTCTGTAAGCTCCATAAGCTCCATGACCTCTGAGCTCCATGGATCATATTCAGCACTTTTGCTGTCTGTAATGTATCTTTCGCGTTTTCCCCTCATCCTTATTTGGACTGCTGCTTCTTCCCATTCTAGCCAGTTAGTCATCATCCCCACTTCACCTCATCCTCCTGCCCCTCTGGGCTTCACCCTCCCTATCTCCTTTTGGATGTACCACAAGTTCTGACCTATGACCTTCGGTACCGCTCCGCTTCTGTCATCCCTTTGTTCCCATTCGGACACCTTCGTTCCGATTCAGACCCCCTTTGTTTTTGGTTCCCTTGTGCTTTTGCCCTCTCCATTATATACCGGCACTTGTACATACTTGTTTTAGGCCCTTAGTCTAAAATCTACCTGAAATGCCCCCTAGAGACTTCCTGCTTGCCGCCTATGAAATTAAGGACCAAATGGACAAACAGCAATGGCACAGCGCTCCGCTTGAGTCACTGAGGCCAAAGTCCCTCCTTGCTAAGTCTCCAGTTCCCCTCCAGAATTGTCTGCCCTCACCCAGTTCTTGTCAGGGGATGCACATGCTCGCGCAGGATGCTCCAATAACCTAGTTGAGATTAAAGCTGGGGGAAAGGGACATCCCCATCTTAGGGTCAGCTATATACATGTAGAGTCCAGCAATAAGGAAACCAAACGGATTGCCGATAGAATCACATGATCACAGAATGTTCCAGAACAATGCCGGAGATGATCCGGGCCACCGGGGCTTAGGTAAGTGGAGTAGATGGGAATTACTGGCATACTTCCCACGCGCATATGCGCAGCTGGCATAGGGTCCAGGGTCGTTACTGATCCCTGACAGTTCTAACAAAAACCTAATGGCAGCACATGATGCAATAATACACAATTGTGCTGCCCAAACAATCCAGGCAAATAAGAAAAGATGCCTGGACCTGCCTTTGAGAAAAGGCGAGCTTTGACCGCAACGTTGTTAAACTAGAAAAGGGAGGAAACTAGATAAGAGAAAACCGCATCCGTTGCGCAATGCAAAGAAAAAAAAAAAAAAGAAAAAAGAAAAGATGAATACATGAATATGAACCAAAAAATCTAATGAAATTGTTGGGGGGGACTAAAGCTCAGGCAGCACCTTGGCGAGGAGTCGAGAAGACCCTCGAGCCAAAGGCTATTGACAAAGAGCGTCTAGAACCCAAATAAGCGTTGAGAGCAACGCTGGCTACTAGATCTACCGGGTAGTTCCGATGGAACTAGGCAGTTCGCTGAACTACCACACAGCCTGCAAGCTGCAAGCCCAGTGTCCCCAGAAAACGACTCGCAGAGTCATGGAGGTAAACCCACTACCACCTAAATATCCCCCCCCTGACAGAGATGCCACCAAAATAGACACTCCCCCTTAATGAACCACTGTCTGCAGCCCCGCTTACCCCAGAAGATGAGAACACACTGGAGGCCCTCTTCTCAAACAAGAAGAACCTCCCCAGACAAAAGCTGGCCACCGAAAGCCCAACAACCATACCACCCCAGCCTATTACCACAAAGGCCACAAGCGAGGACGACGACCTCTGCAGCTCGCCTGATGGGCCCCCCAGTCCCCTAACAATCAGAAACTTGAGGTACATGACCACAAATGCAAGGGACACATTACAACTAGACACAAGAAAGCACGCTAGATCCCCGACAGCCACCAAATTACAAGGACCGTCCAGAGCGCCTCCTAGAATCCATCTCCACAAAAAATCCATCATGAAATCAGGGACCGGCACCCAACTCTACCCCGGAAACCTGGACGCCCCCCAGGATGTCTTCACAATGGCGAGTACGAACGAGAACCAGAGCGAAAACATGCTCTGATCAGACATAACTCCCTCTGAGTACCCCCCCTCCTGGCACCCAGTAACCAGCGCTGAGGACATCAACGAGATGCAAACCTAGCCATGTATGAGACCGCGAAAGCAGAGAGACCAAAAGACGGAAAAGAGGACTACAACTGGATCGCCCTCGGACATGACCTCGAGAAATTCGTAGCACATGGACTCCGCCCATCCCGCCTGCTAGAAGGAGCTAACCCAGCCAGAGCTGAAGAATGGATGCGCACAGAAGGAGCTATCCTGGCTGTGCCACTGGATGCGGCCTACAACGAAGAAAATGCGTGCAACTTCCAAACTAATATGGAAATCTTCATTGAAAGAGCCTTCCCGGACCAAACAAAGAGAGTAAGAATCATTCCCCCCTTCCCTGCTGAGGTAGGAAAGAAAAACTACGGGCAGTACGCCCAACCGTGGGGCTTCCTAGTCCAAGGTCTTAACCCACCCTATGCCGACCTCCTGGTCAACGAACACCTCTGGATATGCCGGAAATTTGGGTTTATAGCGATAGACCTGAAACTTAGACCAACAACCTTTGTCGCCTCATTAATTGGTATGAGCAAAAGACTCAAGGATGAGGAGGACATCGTCACAGCCGTCCAAGACACAATTGTGGACACGAATGGGTTATTCCTCCCATTCCTAGCACAAATGGACATGACATCCGACCAAGTCATGGATATCGTAGACAGTGTCCAAGCCACCCCACGAGGATATGCCCTGAATGGCAAAGACACCGCAGACAACATAAACGAAAAACGGAAACCCACCACGGACAGTGCAGTCACCATGTGGGAAATCCATGTGCAACCCCCCCTCAGCGTGCTAACTGACACTCGAGACTCCCTTCACGACGAATGGATTCAGATATTCAAATCGGCAACCTTTGTAGGGAAATGGACCCAAGCAGGCACAGCTTTCAACTACCATAGACTCTGCCACACTGTTAGAACCGGTGGAAACAGACGACTCCGGAGTGGAATCGGAGACTTAGCATGGAGGGACCTTGGCCTCAGTGACTCAAGCGGAGCACTGTGCCATTGCTGTTTGTCCATTTGGTCCTTAATTTCACAGTAGGTGAGCAGGAAGTCTCTAGGGGGCATTTCAGGTCGATTTCGGACTAAACCAAAACGAGTATGTACAAGCGCCGATATATATAATGGAAGGGGCAAAAGCACAAGGAAAACAAAGGGTAACCAAATCGGAACGAAGACGTCCGAACGGGAACAAAGGGTAGAAGGAGTGGAGAGGTACCGAAGGTCATAAGGCAGGACCTGTGATACATCCGAAAGGAGGTAGGGAGGGCGAGGCCCAGAGGGGCAGGAGGATGAGGGGAAGTGGGGATGATGACTAACTGGCTAGAATAGGAAGAAGCAGTAGTCCAAATAGGGATGAGGGGAAAACGCAAGAAATACATTACAAGTGGCGAGGGTGCCGAAGGCGATCCGTGAAGCTCGGGGGTTGCGGAGGTTACGGAGGTTACGGAGGCAGGGTTGAAAGTCCGAGGGATATTGGCAATGGTGTTTACGTAGTATGAGGTCACCAATGCAATGGACTAAGACCGAGGTGGAGTCAAAGTCCGAGGTAGGGACTATGACGGAGGCTCGGAGTAAGGTACGAGTGGTGTCCAAGTGCGAAGTACGGAACAGCAGTGGAAGGTCGTAACTTGGCGGAAGGGTGGCGGAGGAGTAACAGAGGGAGGAGAGAGGGGAAAGGTAAGGAAGAAGGAGTGGCGGAAAGGAGAGTAGTCAGGTCCGAAGGTGAGTATTGGAATGGATGGGGGAAGCATAGGAGGATGACGGGAGGGCGGAGGTGTTGTGAAGGGGGAGCGGAGTAGTAGGAGGGTGGCGAGAGGGGCGGTGTTCGGTCCGAGATGAGTATCGGAGCGGACGGAGATAGGGTCGGAGAGGTAAGGAGGAGGTGTGTTGCCAGGACCGAAGGTGAGTATCGGAGCGGCAGCGGTAGGTTATGACTCCGGAAGTGAAGAGGGTGGAGGTCCGGAAGTCGGGTCGGGGTCGGGTATGCACGGATATGACACACACCTGCAAGGCTATCGACCACTCCTTTCACGTATGCCCAATACACCAACACTGGGCATGGAAGGAACGCTACCCAAAACATGACACCACCTCAAGGCGAGGACGTGGATATGGTAACTACCAACAAGGACCCAGCTGGAGATCACAGGGCCCCTCGCAACAAACTGTGGGCCCGCCCCCGATCCCATATGACCGCCACCCCCATAGAGGTAACAGCTTTGGCCAATACCCCAAACGAACTCCACCACGAAACCACTACTGAGAAAAAAAAACATACAAAAGAGTACTGTTAACCACACTAGAAATAATAACAAGCATTATCTAGCTGCCCAATCATACTCTCACTGTAATATACAAAAATGTCATCGATAAAAATAAGGAACCTCAAAAGCACAAAGCCCAAATTTACTGAGCCCCGGCGACAGGAAAGCCTAGCGCTAACCCAACCCCCTGGCAAATCGGCTGGCAACTGAGCCAGGGACCTCCATATGCCCAAAAACAAAGATCACTAACAAAGCCCAATCACAAGGTCATTGTCAACTCAACAACGGCAAACTTGCCCTCGGTGCCTGGAGGGTGGAATGTTTATCCCGTTTTACAGAAACCCAATGAAAGATACCGAGGATCGGAAAACGGACAATCCCAAACCCCAACTAGTCCACTCCGCCTGAGAGGCGGCAGAGACCCAAAAACAGTCTCAGGACAAATCCAGATAGCAGCCCTCAACATCAAAGGCGCAAACAGCAACCGCACGAAGAAGAAATGGACCTCGATCACTAACATGATGATTAATCATAAAATTGCTATCATGGCCGTTTCTGAGACTCACACAGATGGTCCCCTAGCAGAAAACCTAGAACACAGACACAAAGACAAATTCCACATCCTACACTCTCATGACCCTGACCACACACGAGCAAATGGGGTTGCACTAATAATCAATAAGAACATGATTAGAAACGACCCAGAAGGGACAACGGACCTCATACCCGGCCGAGCCCTCATGACTACGGTAGAATGGCCTGCAGGCATAAAGAATAATATCATTGCAGTATATGCCCCAAACATCAACGGAGCCGGAACCAACAATGCGAACTTCTGGAACACACTAGCCACCCGGACAAACGGCCTCCCTGTCAACATCATCCTCGGGGATTTCAATGTTGTTGAGGAATCCTTGGACCGCTTCCCCCCGCACAGAGATGTGGATAGCGCAGTAAATGCCCTGAAAACCCTAATGGAAGATAAAAGCCTAGAAGATGGCTGGTGCCTAGCCAACCCCCCACCCACAACGAACTTTACCTTTGGGCACACATTGGGCACCCACCTGTCACGAATCGACAGAATCTACACATCAGGTGAACTTTACAATAAGGCCCTAACATGGAGCATCGAAAACTCGGACTTACCAACAACAGATCACCAGATGATCATGGTCACTATCCATGACCAGAAATCGCCTTACATAGGCAAAGGGAGGTGGGCCATTCCAGACTACCTCATAAACGACGAAACCTTCCTCACAACTGTCGAAGAGTATGGAAGGAACACCCTGAAGGAAATCGAGGAAAGTGAACCTCCCACACATGGCAGAATCCAAGCCAAATTCCCAAACTTCCTGAGGGAGACAGTAAACCTAGCGCGCAAGCTTGCCAAAGCGAAAAGCAGGAAGATAAACTCGACGCTAGCCAGACTAGAGAAAAGACGAAACAAAGCGATAGCCCAACTTCATGTGAATGCACACCACCTCGAAGAAAAACAATACCAAATAATGGCCCTTACCGAGAGAATCCGAGAAGTCGAAAATACCAAACAAGCTAGAAACAGTACCACAGCAAGCATGAACAGAAAAGTGTACGCTGAATCCATTAATAAATATTGGTGCAACTGGGGTAAAGATAAAAAGCCGAGAGACACAATACATGAAATGAAAATCCCGCAATCAAACCCAACCCAATACACTACCGACTCCTCCGAAATGGCAACACTAGCAGCAGACTACTACAACTCAGTCCAATTAAAAGACCTAAATGCCACCCCCCCTGAAGAAAGAGAGACACAGATAAAACAACACCTATCAAACCTCCAACACATCTCAGACACAACAGCTGCCCCCATGACCACCCTAATCAGTTATGAAGAGGTCGCCCAAGCCCTGAAACAGTCCCAAACGGAAGAGCTCCAGGCCTGAACGGCATCCCAACTGAACTGTATAAAAAGCTCAATGAAAGATGAAAAATAAAAAAGAACGACAGTCACGGCATTGACATCATAAAACTCCTACAGAGAATCTACAACAATATCGAAACAAGTGGCTCTGCTGCCCCTGAATTCACAGCGGGCTGGATATGCCCATTTTTTAAGAAAAAAGATAGGAGGGAAATCGCAAACTACAGACCCGTCACAGTACTAAACGCCGAATACAAAGTCATGACTACCGCCTTAATGAACAGACTAGCCCCCCTCGCCCCATCCCTGATAAACAGATGCCAAGCGGCCTTCATAAAAGGGTGAAGCATCCATGACCAGATTGATCTTGTCAACCGCATGATCGACCTATGCGAAATCATCGGCCAGAACGGGGCCATCATTGCACTTGACCAAGAGAAAGCCTATGATAGAATCAGGCACGATTATCTATGGCGAACCCTCGAAGCAATGGGGATCCCTCAACCCACCATTAGAACCATCAGAACCCTGTACACAACCCCGAGAACATCAGTCATCCTAAACGGCATCATCAGCAAACACTTCCATGTTAACCGCGGAGTGAGACAAGGGGACCCACTGTCCTGCCTGCTCTTCAACTTGGCGATCGAACCCCTATCCACTACCCTACGCAACTCGGACAAACTAAAGGGGCTCGAAATAAACACCCCGTCACTATCCCAGAGGGTCATCCTATCACTATTTGCAGATGATGCAGCTGTCTTCATGTCCGAGGACAACAGCCCAGAGGCCCTATTCCAGATCCTTCGAGACTGGTGCACCGCATCTGGCGCTAAATTCAACAACGAAAAATCAGTCATAATCCCACTTGGTATGACCACTTACAGGGAAACCCTTGCGAACTCCAGGAATATGAACCCCAACAGAAATGAACCCTGGACGATGACATAACCATTCTCCGGGATGGACAAACGACGCGATATCTCGGAGCCCAATGTGGCAATCACCCCAATAACCATGACCCCTGGCCTGCCATAATCACCAAAGTCAAAGTGAGCCTAAAAAATTGGAAAAAGTCCTACCCCACCCTAGAGGGACATAAACTGATCACACAAATGGTCATGGGAGGTATGACCCAATTCCACGCCCAAGCCCAAGGAATGCCACCAAAAATCGAAAAAGAACTTAACAAAATCGTGAAAGACTTCATCTGGGATGCGCAGATCCCCTCAGTAAGCATGGAGGCCATGAGCGGCCCCCAGAACGAAGGAGGAAGAAACATCCTAAACATAAAAGCAAGAAACGACGCGATAAGAATCATAAAACTGAAAAAAATAGTAGACAGAGCACCGAACAGACCACCTGCAGCCAACGCTGCAGAAGCGATAATACTACACTCCCTCCCAAAGCGCATCCGTGAAAGGGAAAAACACGACCCGAAAATAGTAGATATCTTCGCCCAAAACATCCTCGATAAGAAACGTCACACTAGCAAAACCTTGCCTCAAGAGCTAAAAGACATCCTGAACACCGGAGCTAAGTACAACCTCGCCATCGAAGATGTTAACATGCCCACCTAAACCTCCTGGCATGGTACCACATAGGAAGATCTAACACCATGAGGGTAAATGAGAACTCCGCCACGGCTAAATGCCTAAGACTTACCCATAAATGTCAGAGGATAGAGGACCTCCTCTACCAAGCAAGCATACCGGCAAACCGTGACCACAACCCTACTATGAATGGACTATGCCCGTGCCCAAAATGCTCAGAGTACAAAATGCAAGGCTGCAAAAACCCGGGTGCCTGCTATAAAACAGCAGGAAACCTTATCAGGAGCCTGAAATCGGAGTTCAACCCGTGCATACAGCCTAAGGAAAACCCCCTCCCCAAAAGGCAGGAGCTGGAAAGCATACAACACCACTCTCTTGGCGACCCTACTAACGTCAAAATCATTAACGCCCTCCCCTGAAACAGACACGAAATATCAAGTTACCTGAGGATTTTCAGAGAAATACCGCGGCCGCCCCCACTCAACCCCGAACCCACGACCCCTGACCCACCCCCCACCGATATCGTGGTCTACACTGATGGATCGTGCACAAACAATGGGGATACCACAGCGAGGGCCGGACTAGGAACATGGTTCGCCACAAATGACCCCCGAAATGCGGGCCTCCCGATAGACCTAAACTACCCGCAAACGAACAACGTGGCGGAAATACTAGCAATAAAACACGCCATCACCACGACCCCTATGAACGCAAGACTCCATATCAAAACAGACTCAAAATGGAGCCTGAACACTTTACACACAAACCTGGAAAACCTCGAAGACAACAACTTCCTTGACACCCCAAGCCCCCAAGCCATCCAGAACACCATAAGCGCTCTCCGACAAAGAACCGGAATTACCACCATAGAGTGGATCAAAGGCCACGACGGAACTGAAGGAAATGAGAAAGTGGATGAACTCGCCCTACGAGGTGCAACAGAACACCACCCCCCCGGGGAAGACAACCGAGCTGGACAACTCACCCAAAACGGGGCCAGACTGACCTTGCTCACCCAATCCTCTGCAACTAAACTCGTACTAAGGGAAATGTCTAAGAAAAGAGCAGTAACAAGTGAGAGAGTGAAAGAAAACATGACCGGGATAAGGAACGCACTGAAAGACCTCCACTGCACCTCCCCGACAGACAACCTAATCTGGAAGTCAATCCTGAAACGAGGGAACGACTCTACCCCGAACATACGAAACTTCCTCTGGAAACTGGCGCGGGGGGCCCACAAAGAGGGTACATACTGGGCAAAAATCCCAGGCTGTGAAAATAGGGCAGTGTGTAATGAATGCAACACGATCGAATCGATGGAACATATCATCTTCCGATGCCCACACAACCAAGGGCCGAAACTCTGGGCGATCGCCAAAAAAAATGGGCCAGACCAAAGGAATCAACTGGCCAGCAAATATGGGCCTACACCACGTAATGGCAGCCCCACTAACCAAAATCAAAGATTCCAAAGGAAGGACAAAAGCGGTGTAGGAGAAATAATATTCAAAGAATAAAACAATGATCTATCAGAATAGTCAACGAACAGGTGACAAGTTCAGACGTTTAACAGATCTCATGATCTTTATGAGACTGGACAGACATTAGAAGATCATTATAAAATATCTACACCCATGTAGTATGAGATTTAATCTACTACAATCATGCCTAGAACTTGACATAGGTGTAATATTCAAAGAATATATCCCTACAACAAGAAAATAGCACATAGACGGCAGAATAAGAAGGAACATTGGGAAAGAAATGTAAATATCTCGGGAACCAGTAAACTTTTGACTGTAATCCTTTTACCATCTGGAAGGACTGTTTCTTAACTTTATCCACGGTTTTGTTTCATTCTAAAAGCTTCAAAACTGACGGAGATATCGCTCAAACGGCGAAACACCTTATAATTCATATATATTTATTTGCTAATTCTTACAAAAGGTAATGTGACTCAAGGGAAATATATTGGCGGCCGGAAGTCAGGCGGACCAAATACCATATGATAGAGTATTCCCCGGCGCGGGCGGACAGTTTTTGATCGCATCAGAAGAGGAGAAAATGCTAAAAAACCGGATCTTGTATATTTTCCCATGATTCATCAAAACTTTTTGATTTTAAGCCCAAATAAATCGGAACAAAGGAATGATTGATGATCTGGATCTCGGATCATAAGCATGAAGTGATTCAGAAGTCCGCGGATCAGTTAATTAATTGGGAAGGCTCTAGAACATTAGTAATGATGTGGCTTCACAAAAAGGGGTCAATTAGAGAACAGTCTAGAAAGTTCCTTTATAGCCGAGTCATTTCTAAAGATAACCGTTCGTAATTAAGGCGGTGTAGAGCATAGCTTCAGCGCTACAAGATCCCGCTGAGATCGGCCCAAAAGACAAAGAAATGAATTACTTATTGCTGAGTCATGTCCTAAGTCCATTATTAAGCTTACACAGCCCAACCCCCTATATCATTCTAGAACTATCTATAATACAAATGTAGCACATGTAACTAGTGCGAGGCGTGGGAGTAGAGAGGCCTCTGAAAAGCATAAAAGGCCACCGCTTCTGCCCCCTCTCAAACCTCAGGTAGAAATAAAAGTTTAATTCTCCTCACCAGTGGTTGGTTCGTTTGCTCCAAAAGATAAATGCAAATATTAGTTGTTAGCTAATATAAAACTAACACGTCACTCTAAGCGTGAGTTAGGGTCAGTTAGACACAGCTGAACAAAAGTGTCATAGTGAGAATTAGTGAGAATTTGGTGGAGGGACTTCTTAATTGAATAATCTCTCAGCAATACTTGGTTATCACACCACAGGAGAAAAGTGAGCGATCCTGAACCTGCTAGATAACTAGCACGCACTCTAAGCGATAGAAAGAGCAGTTTGGTCACTCCTGTATTGAGTAACATTTATTGCGGAATTATTTTATTAGCAGTTTTCCTTCAGTAAATTATCAGGAAAATCACATCCTACTGAAAAGTGGTAAATATAGGTGTAATATTGACTAGAAATCATAGTAAAGTCAATATAAAATTTTATCCGTAGACGATCTATACATCAGGTGAGATCGTTGGGGGGTGTTTATTGTTGTTTAGACAGTGAACAATCATATATTTGGCAACCAAAACACGGTCAGTACGCAAATCAGCACAAACTCTAATATCGTTATTGGACGTAGGAAACTGGTTACATAAGGTGATCCAGCTCCGCTCCTTCAGCGGGCATGACCCGACTTTATAAAATCATCTCCACAGAATGCGCTTGGCTAGTGTGGAAGCTGAGGTGGAAAAGAGTCATTGGTAACGAAGATGGTGAGGCTGGCAATATCCCCCCAATGAAGCCATCGGCACCTTCCTAACCACCCTAAATGAAAGACTGAAGCAAGACAGATGCCTCACGAATAGGAAAAAATACCGCAAAAACGCAATATCAGGTAAACTCGTCCTACACACCTGGAGCGGAATCCTACA